AGAGTTAGGTTTAGCCCGAAGGCCGTTTCAGTACCCCCCCTCTAAGACTCGAGGTCCTCGTTGAGTGCCTTATCTCTCCCTGGCATCTTTCCCTCCTGCCAATCTGGTATATCCCAGGCTTTACCCGTTTTAGGATTGAATCCGTCCGTTAGACTTTCCTCCATAGACTTCCAGGTGTACGTAGCAAAGACGAATTTTCCTAGTGGTCGCGGCGCTGAAGGATGCTTTTTATGGAATGACTTGACTTTGTCTTCCGCATTCTTCAGGTTTTTAGCCGGTTCCCAACTATTATCGCCTTCACCATAGCCCTTCCATTTCACCAGATATCTCAACCCTTTCCCTACCAACTTCGAATCCAACACTTCGTCCACTTCATACTCCTCTTCTCCTTCTACTTCCACTGGCTCTGGTGGTGGTGGTAGTATCCCATTAACCTCATTACCCTTCCAAGGCGAAAGTCGATCGATGTGGAACACCGGGTGTACACGGAGATCTTTAGGAAGTTCTAACTCGTAGTTAACTGGGCTTATTTGCTTTGTAACCTTGTAAGGTCCCAGTTTCCTAGCTGTGAGTTTACGAACACCTTTAATCTGGATTGGTTTTGCATCTAACCAAACCATATCTCCAACCTCAAATGCCCTTTTCTCAACGTCTCCTTCCTTTGCCTGGTCTTTCTTCGACAGCCTCATGGCTGCTTCCGCGTCCTTGCGAGCTGCTTCTAACTTTTGCAAGCGAGCTTCGACTGAAGGGAACTGCGAAGGCGAACCAGTAGGCTGTACTGAAGTAGGTTTGAAGCCGTACAACAACTCGAACGGTGCAAATCCAGAGGAACTATTTTTCCGAGAGTTTATCGCGAACATGAGGGTTGGAAGCCAATCTACCCAGTCTTCGCCTCGGCGATTACAGTAAAGACGGATTTGCTTGGATATTTCTCTATTCATCCTTTCCATCTTTCCGTTAGCACGAGGGTGGTAGGCAGTTGTGAGACCTCCAAGTTCTATCCCGAGTCGCTTTAACAATGCTCTCATAGCTCTAGAGGCGAACTGTGGTCCTCTATCGGAGACAAACTTCTTCGGCAAACCGAAATCTGGGAAGACGTGTTTGAAGTGTAAATCTCCGACTCCTTCTGCTGTTACTTCTGTCCTGGTAGGAACTGGTCTGACTTGTCCAGTGTAGTGGTCGACATATGTCAGGACTGCATTATATCCTTGACATTCTGGTAATGGACCGATAAGGTCTATGCCGACTACCTCCCAGGGTCGAGTTGGTACTTCTAGTGGGACAACCGACCTTGTCGGCCGTATTGACTCCTTCATCCTTGCGCACCTATCGCAACCTTCCACGTACTTGGCCACCATTGCTGACATTCCAGGCCACCAGAACTGCTCTGAAGCGAGTTCATATGTGGCATTTTGACCTGGATGTCCTGCAGCTGGATGGTCATGAACCAACTTCAGAACCTCCGTGCGCAAGTCTCCATCTTTCGGGATATAGAGCCTGTCCTGATAATATGTAAGGCCATCTATTTCCTCCCAGTCTGGGACTCCTCTAGCTAACGACTGTGGCGAAGAGCGAATCATGCTTTTAAGTGTAGATAGGACTTCTGCCTCTCTAATGCTAGCTTCGCGTATTCTTCGTTCTAAGTCTGTTTCGCTTAGAGCTACTGTCGCACTATGTATGAAGTGTTCTGGTTTGAGCATGGTTATCCCTTGGTTGTCTTCGGAGTCCTTGACTTCGAACTGCCGAGAGAGCGGATCAGAGAGGTG